GTGTGTTTGATTAGGGTTGGAGCTAACCTCTGCAGGACACCGGCCCTCCAGGACCGAGTGTGGGCACCCCTGATCTAAAAGGTTTAACTTTGTACCTTATTTACCCCAAAATACTATATATTTGTATCTTAAAGGTACATAGGCCTATGTGTACTTTAAAAGTGTACATAGTGAGAGAGTGTATTACAGAGAGAGAGTTCAATGAAACATGATCTTATTATGAATGCAGTATTGATGTTCTGCATGCTCTTTGTTCATCTGTGTGTTGTTGTTCAGGTATGGTCGTAGAAGTATGCTGCTGGTGTCTTATGTGTCATCTATAGTGTTCAGTGTTGTTAGTGCTTTCTCAAGCAACTACATCATGTTTGCTGCCTTCCGCTTCCTGACCGGATTCGCACTGACGGGGATCATCAACATATCATTTGTTCTCAGTAGGTCTTTTCTTGAAGCTTAACTGCCTTTATCCTTTATCCAAGACTCAGAGACTTTGAGTCGTTTGTCCAGTCTCAACAATTTACCAATTACAGTCAGTTATGGTCATTTGACCGCACTGACGCTATCAGATGAGAACAAAACTTGAACTGAACTGAGCTGAATAATGACACTATTGTCTTGTGTAGAGCTGCTTATAGCTGAATTTGTTTAATAATAGATTAACTTTACATAGTTATTGAACTAAACTGAATCAACACTGAACACTGTGTCAGTAATGGGTCGCCGTGATTTTGCCAAGACATGTTCCTGGATCAACATCTTTTGTTGATCCTGGATCAACATTACTGTCCAAAAATATAGTCTAAACCCAATCCCTACCCCTAAACCTAACCCTACCCATAATCTATTCCTAAAATCAGTGTGAAATGATAGCTGATTACCAAGGGTGTAGAAGCACCTAACCCTGATCATAAGCCTAAAACAGATATTTCCTGAAAAGTTATCCCTCAATTCTGATTGGTTAATTGGAATGTTGTTCCAGGATCAACACCGATGTTGATCCAGGAACATGTTGTACTTGGTGAAATCACGGTCACCGTCAGTAATGACACTGTTGTCTTTTTAGAGCTTGTATTTGAATTATTCTCAAATTTGCATGACTGATTCTGTTACTTTCCTCTTTGTTACTGGGAAACCATCTGTATTGTAAAAAGCACTATATAAAAAGGTAAAAAGTTGAATTACAAAGTTGCAGTTTTCTAAAAGTTAAATATTAAGTACTAAAAATTGTTTTATTAAAGAACATTATCTTACCCTTTTCCCTTCTGGAAAAAGGAAACCATGTAGAATGCATTTATGTTTGTAGATTTTTAAAATCTTTTGTAACTGTTTTGTGAAACATTTTTGTAATGTTTCTGATCTTTAATGATTAAGTGTGATCTGTTCTGCAGGTATTGAGTGGGTGGACACTAAACACCGTACATTTATCGGTGTGTTCGGCAGTATTTCCTGGAGTTTAGGCAACATGCTGCTGGCCGGTTTTGCCTATCTGGTCACTGATTGGAGAATGCTGATTATTACTGTCACTTCTCCTCTTCTTCTTGCTACAGCCATTTGGTGGTAAGGAAATACCATTATTGTTTTTATAAAAAAAAAATGTTTATGAGAGTCCTGAGTCTTCCTCACAGTCAGGGCCTGTTTGTAAGTTCATGTCATGTTTTTTCTCAGCTGGAAAGTTCTTCTTTTTTTTTTTTTTGTTTCTCTCACAATCAGTAAATTCAACAATAATAAAAGTAGTACCGGCTTCATCCATGAGCTCCTGCAAATGCCCTTTGTCCTAAATGACCTAAAAGAGCCTTTGTACCTTCCGTCATCTGATTATGTCATATATATTTCTGTTCTTTATTAACAAGAGGTGTCAATACCATTGTGAACAACAAAATTAATAATTTTTACTATTAATAAACCGTTCCATCATGATTTAATCATATAATTTACACCACTTCATTCTCCATTTTCTTTGCTTTGCCTCAAATCAAAGTTTGTAATAAAAAGTTTGTAATTTCAGAACTGGTTGGTTTGGCTTATGATTTAAAATTCTTAAGATAATTTCAACCTTACGTGTCAACCTTGTGAAGAAAAAATAATTGTTTAATACTTTCATAGGTGGATCCCTGAATCAGCGCGGTGGCTAATAGCAAATGGAAAGGCAGAAACAGCATACAAGTATCTGCAAAAATGTGCTACTTTTAACAAAAGACGAGACTTTACATCTCGAGTTAAACTAGAGGTAAACGGTCTCATTTGACATCTTTTAAATATTTGCAAAGAACTCAATTTCAGCAAGGGTTTAAAACACCGTTCTTTCTGTTTCCATCAAAGGCTTTGTCCACTGTAATGACTGTGGAACAGCAGGGTCACAGTTACACTTACTTGGACCTGTTCAAAACCCCACAGCTGAGGAGACTCACACTTTTCACCGGCATAGTGTGGTAGGTTTTTGTGTGTACTAATTTAAGCATTTTATATTCAAAGAAAGTGCCTCTGAATATGTGAAAGCAAAGAACCTACTTTCACTTCCCCTATTTGTAGGTATGGAGTTGCTTCTACATACTACGGCATCAGCTTAAACATCACCAGCTTTGGGCTTGACCTTTACCTGACACACTTCATTTATGCAGCCATAGAAGTGCCAGCAAAAATCCTCATCTACTTTAGTCTCAATAAGGTCGGCCGTAGAATCACTCAGACTGGGACACTGGTGCTCACAGGATTCTGCATACTCATTAACATCATCACACCTACAGGTTTGTAGATCAAATGTGTCATTTCAATTTCTAACAAAGCAGCCCTTTAGTTTCAAGTGCATTTTAAATCAATGGTTCTCAACCGAAAAACAGATTTACCATAATGATTCTGACAAGGTCAAGGCCAGCAGGAAAAACAATGCTAAAAGCAAATTGTAAAATGCAAATTACCATATAATTTGCATAAGTAGGATAGAAAAATGCATATGTTCATCAGCTTTTAAAATTGGTGAGAAAGCACTTTCCATGTTTTTTGAAGCCATACAGCCAATCAAATTCTGTTCATTTTGATGCAAATCACAGAAACTAGCCAAATCAACAGATGCCAACATGGAATGGTTGTCCATCACTGAAAACCAATAACAAAATGTTGGTGGACCTATGAAATTCATGCTAATATTAATGCTGTATTTCTGTGTGAATGTGTCTATGGGTTTAGAATACTGGACGTTTCGCACTGTGATCGCAGTGTTGGGTAAAGGACTTTCAGAGGCTTCGTTTACAACTGTGTTCTTATACACCACTGAGCTCTATCCAACAGTCATGAGGTTAGTGTCTGCCATGTTCCTTTTCAATTATTAAGCTCACTCAGTTTTGAAAATGCTTCCGTTCTCTCTCCTCCACATCTATAGGCAGAATGGAGTTGGCTACGCCAGTTTTATGGCTCGTTTGGGAGCATCCATTTCTCCTCTTATCATGCTCTTAGAAGACACGTGGAAGCTCCTCCCAGAGGTCATTTTCTGCACGGTGGCCATCTTTTCTGGTCTCATCGCTTGGCTTCTCCCTGAAACCAACAACGAAAGATTGCCAGAAACCATAGAAGATATTGAAGAGATGAGGTACAAGAATAAATGTCACAAAATACAAGAAAAGATCTTGAATTATTGTTTTCGTTTTGGAAACATCAGCTTACAATCCTGACATAAAACCTCCGTTGTTATTATGTTTGTCTGTTTTTCTTTTACTCATTTTTAAATGCACAATAATTTGCTTTATTATTTATCTTTCACAGAAAGAAACCTATCAACTTCACAACAGAGGATCAGAGTAACATCCCTTTAAAGTTGCCCATCTGTGCAGACACAACGCAGTGATATGCAAATCACTTCACAAGCACAAAAAGACATCCTGCCATTGTGACGAGTTTTATAAGCTGTACTCGACATCAGATCCTGCCTTAAGTATATAATTAATGAAACTCTTGAGTCATGGAGTCTTGGTGTACTGTTTTTCTTGCTTTCTTAGAATTAAAGAAATCTTGATTCAGTCTTTTTGCTTATGCATTACCTTTAGATACATATTTAATTAATCCCTTTCGTTAATCTCTGTCTTTAAGTCTTTGTTCCTGCACACAGCACCATGGACAGCACCAGCATTAGTATCTGGGCTCTGATGGACAGCACCCTGGAAAGCTCCACATTACCTGAGTCTGACCTTTGTTAATGAGCTGTGGAAGGCCTCTCCCATAATTGACAACTTCCACCAAAAACCAACATATCACACATATTCTCTTCAAATTATTTTATTGGCAACAAATAATATTTTATAAAATGAGTAACTCAGACTTAACTCTATTGAATTGGATGAGGAATATCGTAAGTTATTATACAGGCAAACCACAGCTCATATCCAATCAAAGACATTAGTTAAAACATACTCTGTATTATTCTAACTTCTACATAAAATGAATGTGACACATCTCATTCAGAAAAAAAGTTTTGTAAACATTTTAGCTTATTATCTAAACTTTATACCAAATATTACTGCTGTAAATATCAAATTATAGAGAAAATGCCTGAATTCAGTGGTGGACAGTAACGAAGTAGTTTTACTTCGTTACTGTAC